CGCGTCAACCGAGTTACTAACAGTCATTTATTTCAACCTGTAACCAGTCTAGTGGGAGCGTGAGCAATTCACAGTCGTGCACGCTGGGGATTGGAGTCGTTACAAGCTAATACCAGGCACATCCAAATTTCAGTCAGTATACTACTCAGCGTATTCCTATGGTGACGGGAAAACAGAAGATAAATACATGTAACCATTGTGAGGATAGGATTGTAGTTCTTGATCAGTGCAATGCGTCAGTCAGTTGTTACCGTGGCTATAACTAACATCAAAAATCCACGTCCGCAGTAGACGGAACTCGCTTGCAGCGAACGCACACCTTTCTCAGGGTGCACTCTCCTAACAAGAATTACCGTACATGTTTCACGGTCTGTGTTAGGTCGTAAAATGTCTCCATCAACGCGAGTGAACAAAACTGAAACGCTACGAAGTTTCTTTTCGACAAATCGCATCCGGCATCTACATTTCTAGTAGAAAGGTGAGTCGAGAATAATCAAGGTATGAAAGACAACATAGTGAATGAGAGACGTACAAATAGGACGAATCTGAACAAGTAAATGTAGGTCAATCGTATTTGTAGCCATAGTAACAGCAGCGCGAGAGCCAGATTAGGTTTCTCGCATCACTCTGGTCCCATGATCCCAAATGCTAACTGAGACGATAAATCAGAAGGAAATTTCTTCGCAATACCACTTTGCTCTCAATCATCAATCGGAATATTTTGCGACCTCTGGCAGTATAAATAACATGTGGCGTTAAAAGTCCCCAACAGGTATTTGCAGTTCGGCGTCAGGTTTGCTTAGTTATATCAATTACTGTGCGTAAAATAATCGTCCACCCAAGCGTTGAGAAGATGTCAAACCAATCCCAAGAACATCCGATCGTTCAAAGGTTACACATTCAACCCATGGAACTCGGTTATGTCGAACCCTGATAAAACACAAACTATGGTTTCCCGAAGACAAATTTGCGGCTGACGAATTGCAGGAATACCACCTGAGAAAGTTTAAGGTTTATGTCGGTTCATTCTGCTACAAGGCCATAGAGGACAAAAACAAAGTTCCTCAACAATCTCAAATCCGGGTCTCTCCGGTCGAAATTATAGGGGAATCTGGTGAGCCACCTGTATCAGATACTTATAGTAACGTAAAACCGACATCGGTTCATTCTTATCAAGAGTATCAGGAAATGGAAATCCAGGAGGAGGTACTAACAAAGCAGCAAAGGAATGCCGTTAAATAACTGACCACAACCGAATAAAGTCGTGGCATAGGTGGCACTAGACTGATTTGAATATGATCATGAACTGAGCGCTTCTCATCTGCCCCCCCCTGCCCCGCTTCCCATTCACTAGCTTTTCTTTCCCAGTTCAACTGGCCCCCATCGACACTTTATCTTTCCTCGACTGGACAAATACTCCCAGTTGATGCTAGTCCTCCATCTGAAATGGAGGTATCTCGGGAAATAAGTTATCTCAAAAGGCATAAGGCCTCTGGCCCAGATGGGCTGTTCCCATCTGCATTTAAGAATGGAGGCTCAGCGTTAGTCTTGCAGTCGACAAAACTCCTGGGTTCAATATGGAAAAGGAAAGAGGTTTCAGCTGAATGGTGTGAGTCGGTGATCATACCGATTTACAAGAAAGGTGTTAGATCCTCTTGTGAAAATCATAGAGGAATTAGTTTA